GCAGGGTGCTTGTCGTACATGCCTTTAATCCCAGCACTCGGGAGACAGAGGCAGGTGGATCTCTGATTTCAAGGCTAGCCTGGTCTACAAAGTGAGCTCCAAGACAGCCAGAGCTACACAGAAACCCTGTCTCAAAAAAAAATGAAGGAAGAGGAGGAAGAAGATGAAGACAGAGAAGGAGGAGGAAGATGAAGGAGGAAGAGGAAAAGGAAGAGAGAGGAGAAGGAGGAGGAGGAGGGAAAATATGCCCTGAGTACCATCATAAGACCTAACTACACCCAAACATAATCATTATGCATAATTCGGAGTTGACTCCTTGTCTAGAGATGCCATTTGATACCTGTGCTGAGCTGCACTGAGCTACATACACTCCATGAGGGTAGACATCTACCAATCATGTTCATCAGTTAATCCCATAGCTAACTCAGTACTTGCCCCACTAGGGGATAAATATCAAATCTTATCTGTGCAATCACTGTCAAATCGACATAAAAGATAGGCCTCTTAGTCAAATATGAAACACTTATAATCCCAGCCCTGGGGAGTTAGAGGTAGGAAGATCAGGAGTTCAAGACCAGTTTCAGCAAGTTTGAGACTAGCCTCAAGTGTACAAGACTTTGTCAGAGATAGATAGACAGACAGATAGATTGATTGATTGATTGATTTACCTATAAGTATACTTTCTAGTATTGGGAGGGTCTTGTTTATTTTATTTTATTATTGTGTTTGTTTGTTTGTTTAAACAAGATGTCTCAACTTATAGTCCAGGTTGCCCTGGAATTCACTGTGTAAACCAGACTGGCCTCCAATTTATCCTTTCTGTGTGTTGGGATTATAGGCTTGTAGCACCGTGCTCAGCTTCAAGCATTCAAATATTAATAATAAATGCTTTAATAGTACTCACTGTGTTCTAAGTATTTAACTTACATTAATTCATTCAATCTTCACAACTAACACAGGAGTTCTCACGTTTCCAGTTTAAAAGAAAAGAAAATGTGGACATAGAAGAAATGGAATCTTTTGCAGATTCATAAAGGAGATTACATCCTAAGCAGTTCTGATTGGAAATAACAGAACAGACCAAATGTCCACAGAAAAGGAACCAATTTATTGGAGGATTCGGTCCCAACACATCTGAGAGTTTTAAACATTCTAAGACAAAAATCAACAACTGTATTCTGAAGAGGCCAAAATACTTGAGTCTTTGCCGGCCATATGATCTCTTCTGGAGCACTTCAACTCTGATATTGTGGGAGAGCAGCCACAGACAATATGTCAGGAAGGAGCGAAGCTGTGCCCCAATAAAACACTTAAGAAAAATAGCAGAGGGCTGAGCTGGCCCACGGAGTATTGTTAATTTGGAAAGAAGAACAAACCCATCTTATGTTTTTAGGGGTTTTTTTCCTTGGAAAATCAGAGCTCTGTTGTATGGAAGAAAAAATTAATACATGTCTAGTCTCCTTACAGCAGAGAACAAGAAAAATAGAGGGCAGTCTAAGGCAATTCCGTGTGAAAGTACCTGACTTCACCTGATACCAGAAGCTAACAGGTCAAGTCCCATTAGTACATGGGTAGAAAAAGAGGGGCTTGATGGGCTTAAGTGAAAAAAAAAAAAACCCATTAGCAGAAAAGAAAGAAACCTTATGCTTCTTTTCCTATCTGGCCCATAATCTTTTCCAATCTGGTTCTGCGTTTTTATGCAAAATGCCAAAAATAACTAGAGAAAGCTGTTTGGACAGCCAGTAGGGAAATAACCATTCATGTCAACGTGCCAGCGCTGTGCTCAAAGGCAAATACCACTTTTGTTTGCAAGCTAGCTTTTGAGTATTGAAGAAACATGTACAGTGTATTAAAAATAAGTCACTATTTCACAGCCCAGAAGTTTCAGCTGAACACTGGAGCTCCTCTCATTTAAGTTACAATTTTGAAATATGTGAAGTAGGACTGACTGTTTCTGCGCTACTCTTAGTATAAATGCTCATAGCAGAAGACTATAGATTGTAGGGAAAACAATGAACAACATAGTTTGATGTGAATCATAGGACTATCTCACCCTGGGAGGGGTGTATGCTAAGTCCTGGGAGGGACTCTGAGTGGTTAGTGGCCTCCCCTCACATTTTTCTTCCTGGGAGTCCTAAAGCTGGCCTGCACTGTTATAACCTACTTCCTTTTCCTCTTCTTCCTAAGCCCCACTTTTATTTTTCTCACCCCATAAGCCCACGCTGACCTGGAACTCATTATGTAACCTAAGGTGGTCTCAGACTTTCAGCTCTTTCTGCCTCCACCTCCCTGAAGCACTGGGACCTCTAGGTCTCTGGCATCCATTCCACACCCAGCCGGAGTTCATAAGTCAGTTCTCTCCTATAGTCTGTGCCTTCAGAGATCCTCACAGCCCCTGTACACACCTCACTTGAAAATAATTCCATCCTCCTCCCTCCAAGTCTCCCCTGAGTCCTAGCCCCCCACATAGGTCCTGATCACTGCAACAAACCTCCCCGACCATGGATTCAGGAAAGTCCCCCATGAATATATCCCCAAGAGAGTACACGCACTGTGGACTGTACATCCTCAGAACATATGACCCTATCACCTTCAATTCTGTATTATTGTCTTCTTTGTTTTTCATTCACGTCACTCTGTCCTAGGTTTTTGAAGGTCAAGAGGAAGGTATTTAAGGCAAAGAATAGAGAAAGTAGGACTATTTAGTAATATACAGCTAAAAATAATAAATTCTGAAGCCACATGAATCCATAGATTTTTATCTCATATATTCTCTAAGCATAAACAAGCAAAGAATGCCGATCCAAATATTAACTGAGAACTTAAAAAATACCACATTAAAATGCTAGTGAATGTACTTTAACAAAAAGAAACAGAAACAAATAAGTCAGAAACTAATGGACTAGGAGTTCAGGATGTCACTTAGTAGTAAAATATATACCAGGTATGCTCAAGGTCCTGGGTGGGTTCAGTTCCCAGCTCTGTCCCCACCCCACCCCAAAAAACACAAGGAAAAGAAAGACTTTGGTTCCTTAGCCTGAGTAAAGCTGGAAGGAAGGATACTTTTTTATTGCCCTTTATTTAACTTTTGGCTTTTAATAATGAAGCACATCAATATTTTTCATAAAAAATCAAGTTAACCTATGTTAAAAATGAATGACAAAACATAGTGAATAGTGAATAAAAGCACTATTCCAAGCTTTACCTCATCCTGGGCAAGCACACTGTCCCTGAGCTACATCCCACCCACCCCTGCTTTGTGTTATAGCTCTTTATTTTGAGACAATGTCTCACTACATTACCCAGGTATGCCTTTACTCATGATGCAACCCAGGCAAGCCTTGAGCTTGCAATCCTCCTGCCTCAGCTTCCAGAGTATCTGGAATTACTGATCTGTGAAATCAGGCCTGGTTCCCAGATCTTTTCGAATCTACATTTCTATACCATTCGCTAAAAAAAGTAAATATCAAACATCAGTTAACAGACTGTGTGTCTACTCTGACTGTCTTGTAGTATGCACAGATGGGCAACTCTAAAATGATTTCTATGGTTGCACACATAAACAGAAAAATTTAGGATACTAAGACTCATGTTTCTCACTTGGAAGTTATAGACATAAAAATGCAGGCTAACATGAGCTGTGTGAAATTGGCATGAGATAAAATACAAGATGTAACAAAGCAAAGTAGGAGCCATAACTGGTAGACAGAAAACAGTGTGGTACCCTGAACGCATTATAAGGATTATTGAGATATGCTAAAGCTATCATATACTTGTAGACGTTGTTAAGTTTCATATGCATGTTAAATCTTAATACAATCGTATCAAAGAAATACAAAAGAATGAACACTTTCCAGGCCAGTAGAAGGGTAAAACAATTATAAAGAGAACAGAAACCATAAATAGAGGGAAAAGAAGATGAAAAATGTGAAGTAATACAAAGCAAAGGAATAAGCGATGAGTCCAAAATTGTCAGTAATTTCAGCAAATTTATGTCATCACAGTTATAAATACATATAACAATTATAAGATAGGATATTCAAATGCCACTCAATCCTCTCCATAAGATTCCTCAGTATAAACCTGGGAGCACAAATACAGTGACAGCAAGAATGGATTGTTTTGTGAACACTATCCCCAATAAAGAGGGTATAACTACATTATTTTAGACACTTGGGCTTTGAGACAAATATTGAATGACTAGTGATAAAAGGGGTCATTATGAATAACAAAAGTAAATTTTCCCTAGAAAATTTAACTCTTATTTATATGTCACCAGAATTACAAATATTTAAAATAGCCAGTTTTAAACAGAAGTGGACAAATATTAGTGAGGGAAATTAAAACACATTTTTCTCAAGGACATGTGGAATGAATCTAACCATTGGCCATATTTAAGTAATAAAATATCTCAACAGATTTTTAAAAATATCCCTGCATCCCACATGCTCTGAACATAGTGCAATAAAGTCAGACACTAATAATAAATGACTATGTTTAAGATCACCACATGTTTAAAATTAATAACTTATTTGAAGTAAGTCATGGATTAAAGAAGACAACCCAGTGGAAATTATAAACTATTAATGCTATACATCAAAATACGGGCTACAGTGTGAGCAGTATTTGGATAGTTTTAAAAATACATAGCACAGTGGAGGCGGGGCCCAAATGAGAACAAAGCGGAATAGACAGTTTGCTATGGACTCCTGCCTGCCCTAAGGATCCACAAGGGAAGCCCCTAATGTGAAGAATCGACAGACACAATGAGGAATATGACAGGACAGCTTTCATGTGTATGCTTGTTTAGTTGTAGAAAGGTGAATGGAAGAACACCCACCCGAATGCTGACAACCATTGGGAAGGGGCAAAGGAAACAGCCAATGGCGATTTTCATAACAGATTGTATGGCTCTGCTGATACGCCCAAAACTATGTATGTTTTGTCTGTACAATTAAGCCAGCCACGCCCAAAGTGAGTTCAACACATAAATAACTAACCTTCTGGTGAAGTTGGTTTACTTCCATTTCCTTTGTCCACAGCCTTCACTCTGGGCTTTGTTGGATCCTTTCTTTTCTCTAAATCTTTAACTGGAACAAAAGAAAGACATTAGTGTTAATGTTTTAATTTGAAAAGAAAAGAAAATGCAGTGCATTTACCCAATGGAGTATTACTAAGCTATTAAAAACAATGACATCATGAACTTTGCTGGCAAATGGATGGAACTATCATCCTGAGTGAGGTAACCCAGACCCAGAAAGACTAATGTCCTCACTCATAAGTGACTGTTAGCTGGAAAGGAAAAGAAAGCCATGCTACAATCCACAGACTCAGGAGCAGAGTGACAGGAGGGCTAGAGGAGGAAATGTATGGGGATCTCCTTGGGAAGGGAAAGTAGAATAGGCATCCCTGGTGGACTTGGGGAAGAGTGTGGATGTGGGGTGAGGATGGGAACAGGAGGGATCAGGGGAGGAAAGGATGGAGGGAGAGAGTACTGGGAGAGGCAACTGGAATCTAGGGACAGCTCTTGGATGAGCTAGAAACCTAGAGCAATGGAAACTCCCAGGAACCTATGAGGGTAGCCCTAGCTAAGACTCCTAGCAATAGGGGATACGGAGCCTGAACTGGCCATCTCCTGTACCCTGACAAGACTTCCAGTGGAGAGATTGGGAGACACCAACCCTCCACAAACTCTTAGACTTACAATTTGTCTTGCCTATAAGATGTACTGGGGTAAAGATGGCAAAGAAATTATGGGAGTAATCAACCAATGACTGGCCCACCTTGAGACCCAGAGAGAGTCTCACCCATGAGGGCCAGGACCCAGAAGCAGAATACCCCAGAGACCTAGGATAGAACCAAACACTACTGAAAAAGAAAAGTCAATGAAATGATTCCTGATGCTATTCTGCTATACTCATAGACTGGTGTCTATCCCAACTGCCATCAGAGAGGTTTTACCCAGAAACTGATGAAAACAGATGCAGAGACCCACAGCCAAACATTAGGCAGAGTTTGAGGAATCCTGTGGAAGAGGGGGATAAAAGCTTGTAGGAGCCAGTGGGGTCAAGGCCACCTCAAGAAAACCCATAGAGCTGCCCTAGCCCACCACCAGCTGCAACACTTGGGATAGCAGGCCCTGCACCTCAAGTGGGCAGCACAATAGAGTCAACCCCGTTGGCAGAGATGTGGGTGAGCCAGCCCGATGTTGTGGGCATGGGAGAGCTGTCCCCATTACTCATCTGTCTTGTGGGGGAATGGACGGGGGAGAGCTGCCCTCCCCACTCCATCAATGCCGTAGACAGGTGGGAGAGCTGCTCTGAGGTCATAAGAGAGGAAGAGCTGGTCCTGCCCCTGATCAGCTGCAGCACTTGGGAGAGTGGCCCCTACACTAGCCTGGGCAACACAGTAGAGGTGGCCCTGAAGGTGTAGGTGTGGGAGCGCCTACCTTGAGGACATGAAAGGAAAACGGGCCATGTCCTATGCTCATGGCTGCAAGGGGTGAACTCACCAAGGCAATGCAGAAGAACTCACCCTTGTGGTGAGGACAAGAGAGGGGTGGCAGGCTGACCAACCTTGAACAAACCCAGGTCCAGAACCAGGGTTATTTGTTAGCCCACCCCAACATCCACCCCATCTGTGATCTGCTGGAGCACATGGAGGGACCTGTCCTGCAGACCCAAAGCTGCAGGATCTCCACAACACAGGGCAACAGCAGGATAACCAAGAGGAGCCCCAGTGAGGGCCCAGCACCAATAGTGTAGCAGAAACCAGAGGTCCTGAACCAAACCAATGACTCTTTCAATGAACACTTGCAAGTGAAGAAAAAGAAAAGAAGACAGCAAAGTAGACTGGGTCTAGTAGGGATAAGGAAGGCAATCAGTGGGAGTAGGGTGGGACATTAAAAGGTAATGGAATGAGAATATGACAAAAATTATGAACATGTATGAAAATGTCATAATGAAACTTATTATATATAATCAATCATTACTAATACAAATGACAAAAATAGTTTTGATAGTTGTAGAGGCCCAAATTACTCAGGGTCAGAGTATCTGAGCTTGCTTTACCCAAGCAGGGCTGCATAATGAATGATTAACCATGGGCGTGGTCACCAGGTGTTTGGAAGGGTCTACACTAGGCTGTACAGTGTGCTTTGATCTTGCAAGGAAGAGATCTTTTGCCTCGCCCGTTGGCATATTATTAAAAAAAAAAAAACTTTTCAATAAAGGATGAGGCTGTTGGGTATTGATCCAGACCCTCCCAAAGCTGTCCTATGTTTCTGTCTTTCTTCTTGTCCACTAGGTCTCTCTTTCTATCTGGTATTTTCTTATTCCTCTCTCTTCCTCCTAAGAACCCTAGAAAATGTGGGAAAGGTGGGAGCTGGACTCTCACAGTCTCCCACAGATAGATGGTAGTGCTTGTCACTTTAATGAGACAATATTCAGAGGCTAAAAACTACCCCTACTCCTTTGGTACACTCATGGCCACCTGCATCATTAGCTTAATTTCCCACTGTGGTGGTATTGTGTTCCCAAAAGTATTGTGCGCCCTAATAAACTTATCTGGGGTCAGAGACAGAATAGCCACTAGATACAAAGGCTAGAAAATGGTGGCACTCACACCTTTAATCCTAGCATTCCAGAGGCAGAAATCCCTCTGGATCTCTGTGAGTTCAAGGCCACATTTGAAATAGCCAGGCATGGTGACACATGCCTTTAATCCCAAGAAGTGAGCCTTTAATCCCAGGGAGTGATGGCAGAAAGCAGAAAGATATATAAAGCATGAAAACCAGGAACTAGAAGCATTTGGCTGGTTAAGCATTTAGGCTTTTAAGCAACAGTTCAGCTGAGATTCATTCTGGATAAGGACTCAGAGGCTTCCAGTCTGAGGAAACAGAATCAACTGAGGAACTGGCAAGGTGAGGTAGCTGTGGCTTGTTCTGCCTCTCTGATCTTCCAGCGTTCACCCCAATACTTGACTCAGGTTTGATTTTATTAATAAGAACTTTTAAGATTCCTGCTACATCCCACTGTACTCTATGCTTGACACTCTGCCTGCCATTGCTTGGCTTCTAAAGTTTCCCAAGATTTCAAGGTCATCACCAAATGTCAAACTTCTGTACATATAAAATTCCCTGTGAAAATGCAAAAAAAAAAAAAAAAAGTCAATGGCAAGATATGTCATTTAACTGTTTTACTTGAAGGAAGTGAGCAGATGTATTGGCAGGTCAGCTCCATAGGGGAGATGATTTCTCCAGCCATCCTTGCCATCCTGCCCAGAAGATGGTCCCATCAGTCCTGTCTCAGTAGCACCCCTCCTCTGCCTTTCCACTGGCTTGTAAGCCTTTGCTAAAAGGATTCTAGATTTGTCATCTGCCCAGAGCTTATCACCTCAGTTCTAGCAATCCAGTCTTTAAAACCCTCCTTGTCTTTCTGAACCAAGAAATTTCATTCCGAGCTAGGAATAATAATTAAAATTTTAAGATACTTTCTTCTTACTAGGTTCAATAATCGAATTTTATATCCATCTTTAGACCCCATTCCATGAATTCTTAATCATCATTCTGTCTCTTTAAAAAATCTTTGTTCACAGTTTTTGCAGATATAATTGCAATTTTTTTCCTATTCCACTACCCTACCTTTTATATTCTCATCTTTGGATTCCTTTTCTCCTTCCATTCCTGAAACATGACCTATACTAAAATTGCCTTGCATCTCTGCCTATAATTTTGTCATCCAACAATTTAAAATCTTATCCTTTATGGATTATTTCCAAATCTACATCTTTTACTCCACCCACACTTGGGCTATGACCCAGGCCACTTACATTTTCTAAAACAAAATGCATCTGTCGGTTTAATATGAGGGAAAAAACGTGTTAAGAAATGCTAGAGGTATAAAGAATTCCAGGAAATAATGAGAATAGTTCAAACACGGGCATCTGCAGATCTGTTCCTGGAAGGGGAACACTTCGGTACCACTGTTAAGATGGGCAGGCTGATTCAAGCAGAGGCCAGCAGAACATACTTCCAAGGAGAAAAGTTGGTGGCTTAGAAGTGTTCCAAAACAGACCACAGCACCAGCTTACATTTGAATTTTGAAAAACAAGTCTCAGTGGAAGTTGGGCCCGAAGGTCACACAGAAAGTCAATAAATGATGCTACCTTCATGTAGGAACAAAATCAGTTAGAAACAAATTGTCCTGCCTGGTGTAGTGGCACACAGTCTCCTGCCTCCTAAATCGTTACAGAAGAACCGGAAATGACATCTCTTAAGGTCAGTGAGAAACAGGAAATGAGAGAAGTGGTCCATTTCTTTTGAGTGTCAAAATTACAATCCTGTAATCCCAGGATTGGAGATTTAAAAAAAAAAAAAAAGCAGGAGGCTCACAAGTTCCAGGACAGCCTAGGCTACATTGTGGGTTCCAGGCTAGCCTGATCTACAACACAAGACCCTGTCTCAAAAGAAGAAAAAAAATAGGGAGGGAAGAGGAGAGAGATAGAAGAGAGGGAAGGAGGGAGGGAAAGGGGAAGGGGGCAGAGAGGATAAAGGCCCCACAACAAAGCGGTACTGTAGAAATCAATTCACCAGCACAAGGGTTCTCCCTGCTCTTAAAGTCCAAACAATTGTTTACGCATCAAAAAGTTTTGTTCAAAAAGAATCCAGATCTCCCAAGACTTTATCATGACCACCACTTTCCAGCATGTAACCATGGAAGTTTTCAAGGGAGGAAAACCAAACGAGATTTAGCTCCATCGCATAAGGGAGCAAGAATATCAGCGAAATACAAAAGGGGAAAGAAGGTCCTGCAAACAAATTATTTCTATATGAGCAGAACAAATGCCCCCATATCTCACCCGTGACAGTAAGAGCTAAATCACAGAATGCACTCCTACAGTTTGTCTACAAGAAGGCTGGCGGGCCACAGCGACTGGCCCACAGAGAGGAGCAAGCGGAGCATAAACAGCTTTTCTTCACATGCTCTGAGGGAAAAGCCAATGGGGAAGCGTCCCACAGCCCCGGGGTTTCCTCTACTGTTCAGCAGGAACAATTCTTGAAATTATCAATCACAAAGCTTTGACACTCAAAAGCAATGGACCGCTTCTGCTCCTCTCATTTCCTGTTTCTCATCAACTTTAAGGGACATCATTTCCGGTACTGCTGTAACAATTTAGGATGCGGGAGGCTGGAGTGCCATCACAAGGGAGGCAGGACTGACTTAAACTGAAAACCTCTTGGTAGCTTTCGGACTATGGGAGAATCTCAAACAGTGTAACATGTCATCTGAACCTGAGGACAGGTAGACTCACGAAATGTCTTTGTTCGGAAGTCAAAAAGGCAAAATATCTCAAAAGCCTCCCTCACACATATAGTATTTTAAGCTGAGAGCCCCCGGTGGTACTTAGAGACTGTCAATACACACTTCTGAACTGGCCTTGAGCCGGCTTGCTCTCTTTGTCTTTATTGTAGGCAATAAGTTGAACTGTGTAATTCTGCTCCGGCAGAAGGCCTTGAATGATGGCTTTTGTCGCGGAGTTCTGCAGGTTCAGCTGATTGGTTTTCCCCCCTGTAATAAAACAGAAAGGTAAGTCCATTCGCAGCTGTAAGGAGCTGCATGCTCTGAGAACTTTTATTAACCACAATTCAAGACTTTTAAAAGGCAAAGGCATTACATTTTTTTAAAATTTTGGTTGTATATATTTACAGTGCACAACACACTTTGATAGGTATCAGACGGTAGGTAACGCCACTTGAAAGACACACACCTAATATATGCGTGCCCAGAGCTTAACTGGAATGGAATTTTCATTCTCATGTTCAGCATATCCTTTCTGCTTCAGATAACAAATGTTTGCCCAGGTTATATTAAAAAAAAAAAAAAAAACCCAGTTACAAAAGACTTTCATCATAGCACTCTATCTCGTTGATTATCTAAGGGAAACCACAGTATAAGATTAGAAAGCAGATGCTCAACATGAGATAGTCTTCAAAGCTCAACATGAGATAGTCTTCAAAGCTCAACATCAGATAGTCTTCAAAGAGAAGAGGAACGCCTCTTGAAAGTGCAGGGCGGGCGGGGGGATGGACATGGACAGGGCACAAGGAGCTGACTGAATGCTGTTAGCCATGCTGATATTGTTTGCCTCTGCTCCCTGGAGTAATACAAAGCATCCTTGAATCATAAACAACTTAATTATCTTAAATCTGGCCATCACTGCCTCAAGGTGCTGAAGGAAGTACTTATTGCCTGGCTACTTAAGTCAGATTGATTCATTAAAAAAAAATTTCAAAATCCCCATCAAACTATACAGACATCTAACACTTTCTTTAAAATGCTTTTGGTTAAATACTGAGTGTCTATACAAAGCTTCAAAACACCTTTTTTTTCCCTAGAATTTCTGGCAGTAATTAATCTGAAATGAAGGGGAAATTAATTCAAAACTTCTGTCCCTCTAACAGCCCTCAGAAAGGTATTAATTAATCAAATGTAGCATATATTATTTTTAAATTTTAATTGAATTCCAATAAAATTAATATCTGGATCTGAAATGGTTTTTGCTATTATCCATGCTGCCTGCTGCTGAAGGACAAAACTGAGTTTTCTCTTACCAAAGCCAATTCCTTAAGTGTTCCAGATGTTAAGTTGTTTTGTTTCATAAACCCTTATCATTTGAAACTCATCTGTTAGAGAATATTATTTTAAGGTGTGTTACTTTTGTTCATGGTATATTGTTTAACTCTGTGAAGCTGTGTTACTGTCCCTGTCTAAAACACCTGATGGTCTAATAAAGAACTGAATGGCCGATAGCAAGGCAGGAGAAAGGATAGGCGAGGCTGGCAGACAGAGAGGACATATAGAAGGAGGAAATCTGGGAGGAAAAAAGATCAAAGAAGGAACTAGGAAGGAGGAGGACTTCAGGGTCCAGCCACTCAGTGACACAGCCAGACACAGAGTAAGAAGGAGAGAAATGGTATGCAGGAATAGAGAAAGAAAAAAAAAAAAACCACTGAGGCCAAAGGTAGACAAGCTAATTTAAGTTAAGGAAAGCTGGCTAGAAATAAGCCAAGCTAAGGCCAGGCATTTTAAATTAAGAATAAGCCTCTGTGTGTGATTTATTTGGGAGCTGGGTGGCAGGCCCCCCAAAAGAGCAAAAACCACTAACAACGTTTTGACTATAAGTTATCTCGTCTGTCTTTATGCCTCTGGGTTTTTCTCCTTCTCTTACTTCTGTAAATCTTACTCTTACTCAGTGGCTTGCTGTGTAGCTGGGTGGCTGGGCCCTAGAGTCCTCCTCCTTATCTGGCTACTTCTTTTTTTCCTCCCAGATTTCTCCTTCTATATATTCTCTTTGCCTGCCAGCCCCACCTATCCTTTCTCCTGCTTCACTATTGGCTGTTCAGTTCTTTATTAGACCATCAGGTATTTTACACAGGCACAGTAACACAGCTTCACAGAGTTAAACAAATGCAACATAAACAAAAGTAACACACCTTAAAATAATATTCTACAACATGTAACTGCTATTAGTACCCTGAAGAACACCATGGAGCATTCTTTGGAAAAGATTGGCATAAAAAGACTTGGACAGTGGTTCACAGTGCTAAAATGTCCATGAATGCTTTGTAGTTAAATGTATTTATTAAACTTCTTTATTTGCTGTGTTTAATCAAGTAGATTCTTGTGTATCTAAATGGACTGGTTGGGTTTGGCCATTGTAATAAGGACAGTGAATAAGTAAACCTAATATTCATTAAGAAATATTTTAACTCATAATTTTTATTATTAGAGATATTTAAACAGAAGTTAGGCATCTAGCTTTTGAGCACACTGTCTCGGGGGGATTGGGGGATCATGTTGAGGTTTGGCTCATAAGGCACTTGAGTCAGTTCTAAGATCTGTGATTCCTCAGTGATGTATGTTTGGTTGGGGTGCTTAAAAAGTTAGTATAATTAGCAATTAATCTATAAAGATTAAAGTACTGACTAAGAATGTATTTTCAAGACCTGACATAGGGAATCCCTCAATTCTTTAAGTTAATAACTTGGAATGAGTCTATAATGCTTAATATTAGTGACCAAGCTAGAAACTAGGTGTTTCATGTACCTATATTTTTTTGAGAATTCTAAATCAAATAATGGGTAAAAGATTACACACTTGTTTTTTTTATTTTTTTATTTATTTATTTTTTTTTTTTTTGGTTTTTCGAGACAGGGTTTCTCTGTGTAGCTTTGCGCCTTTCCTGGAACTCACTTGGTAGTCCAGGCTGGCCTCGAACTCACAGAGATCCGCCTGCCTCTGCCTCCCGAGTGCTGGGATTAAAGGCGTGTGCCACCACCGCCCGGCAGATTACACACTTGTGAACACAAAATCAGTTGAGAAATAGTCTTTAACAGAAAGAAGTCGAGCTTTATATACCCATCTTCATCACCTATTTGAATTCTATTTATAAAAACTTGTATTAGCTGGGCAGTGGTGATGCACGCATTTAATCCCAGCACTCAGGAGGCAGAGCCAAGCAGATCTCTGTGAGTTCGAGGCTAGCCTGATCTATAGCGTGAGATCCAGGACAGGCACCAAAGCTACACAGAGAAACCCTGTCTTGAAAAAAACAAAAAACAAAAAATAGGTGTTGGGGGTTTAGCTCAGTGGTAGAGCACTACCCTAGCAAATGCAAGGCCCTGGGTTTGGTCCTCAGCTCCAAAAAAAAAAAAAAAATGTATTACAGGTGTCATGGTTAATCATTGTCAAGATGACTAGATCACAAAAGAGCTAGGTGAGGCACAGCTCTGTAGACATCTGTGCAGATGTATCTCTAGACAATTAACTGAGTAGGAAAAAAAACTTTAAATATGGGCAGGAGCATTCTATGAGCTGGGGATCCAGGTCAGAATAAAAGGAGAAAAAAAGAGAAAGCAGCTGAGTGGCAACATTGCCTTTCTCTCCCACTCTGTTTCCAGGTCAGCTGTGAAGCAAACAGTTCTCCTTTGCCACACATGCTCACTGCGGGGATGGACAAAGTAACCACGGACTCAACCTCTGAAACCAGGAGACAAAATAAACCTTTTCTCCCTTGAATTGCTTGTGTCTGGCATTCTATCACAGTAGTGAGTAACTGATCTTTTGAGGTCATGATTTACCAGATAGTTATTGTGTACTTGTGTGTGAGGATGGGAGCTGAGAGTCATCCTGAAGAGCATCCCTGTGGTAACAGTCCCTTAGCAATCACTCTATGGCACCCCTGCTCTACGTGTGTTCTTTACTTCCTTTGGTCATCACAATCAGTACTTCCCAAACTCCAATTTTACAGGAATTCTTTTGGTATGTTTTCACAGTTCAGACTGATTCAGAAGTATGGGACTGGGATCTCATATTTTGTATTTTAAATAAGCTTCTGGAAAATGCCATGTGCATGCTCAGGAAGCTTTCATGGGAAAGGTGGTAATGGTTTCATACATTCTACAGAAAAAGAAACTGAGGCCCTAAGAGGCTAAATAACCTGCCCAGACCTCATTACTTGTAACAGAAGTAGAATTAGTGCTCAAGAAATCCAGTGTTGATTCTCTGTGTCTCCATGACAACCATTCAATTCCCCTACATGCCCTGCCTTGATTAACTTTATCTGTATAGTAGAAATATAAAACATGTGAATGAAAATTTCACCCACAATTTTATACCACACCTTTATGTAATGACCAATAAATCTATTCAATTTGTGTTTCACTTGTTACAGTTTATTTTCACAATGTCTAGTTGACATTTTGATGTGTAATTGCTAAGTATCATTTTATAAAGTTCATTAATTATAACTTATTCCAACAGGCACAACTATTGTACACTCAGGCATATTGTATCTTTACAGCATCCATGGATCAAAAGCATTTATTATATATTGAAACATGAGTAGTAGGGGGTTTTGATATTCTGGAAATTTTGGCATAAGTAGAATCAATCATGGTTGAGCCCAAGAGTCAGACCTTACACTTCAGGAAACATTATTTCCTCGATGAGAAGAGAATTTATCAAGTTCAAAAATTAAATTAAACCAAGTCTTTCACACAATCCTAAAGCAACGTTCAGCACTACATATTTTTAACCATCCATGTGTAAAAAGTTCCTAAAGCTGCAGATAATATAGTAGATTGTCTTTACCTGAAGCTGGAGCCACAAGCAGTTTGTAGCCACCAAATTTCCCTCTTGGAGCTTTCCATGAAATCTGTATACTGTCATGGGATATTACATTGTATCTTAACCTTGTGGGTGGAGCCACTGAAAAGGAAAAACAAAATGGCTTAAACATGAGAACAGTTAAATTGAAAAGTCAAAGCAGCATGGCCAAACTATACAAGAGTTCATCAGCCTTGAAAGGTGTTCTTTCTACAACCCCAGTCATGAATTAATCAGTGTACAAGATAAGACAGATTCGAGAGTGTGCTTTCCTCCCAAGGGACACCCATTTGTCAGACAGCACCAACCTGAGACAGTCAGTCTTGCAAACTGATTTCATGATGTGTCAAGGATGTATTTTCCTACTTGGGACATGAAAACTTCTCTATCTTACTGGGATCATCAAATGTATGAACTTCAAGTTTTCCACTGTGGCAATCAAATGTTTTGGATGATATAGTTGAGGAAACTATTTGAGGCATATTACAGTAATACAATATTCATTCTAAAACATTTGAGAGGGGCTAGAGACATGGCTCAGCGGTTAAGAGTCGACACTGCTTTTGCAGATGACCCAAGTTCAGTTCCCACCTGTGTCGGGTGGTTCACAACTACCTATAACTCCAGCTCCAGGGGATCTGCAGGCATCTTTTGACCTTGACAGGAACTTGCACTCATGTGCACACACACACACACACACACACACACACACACACACAATTTTAAAATAGTAAATAAATAAAATATTAGAGATAGTGATCATAAATTCAGGGTCAATGCAAGATAATTGTGTTTTTTTAAGCTCTGATCTACTCTTCAGGAGAAGCTGATTTATGCAGATCGGGTGTGTTGCACATGATAATGATTCAGGCCACAGTATTTGATCTTTTGAAATTTCACAAAAGGGTTCAGATCTCTTTACTTTCATGTAAGTCATTAAAACTTCAAAATATATTTCAGACCCTTCTGCAAATGCCCCAGGGTTTCAAAAGAAGTCCTTTGGCGCGGACATTTTTACTCTATAATATCTAAATAAAGTTATTCATTAGCAGAATGTCAGGACTCATCACCCACTTTGTGCCAGTCTTCTTTTCTCTACTTTGGGACCCAGCGTTGAGGAAGGAACCAGACATTCATAAAAGGCATGAGGCATAATACAAGCTCGGACATGAGTTTGATTTCCAGTTCTGTCATTGATCAGCTAAACAGCCTGAATCTGGTGGTCAATTCTTCCAAAGTCAATTTCCTTACACTTAGAAAAAATGATGCTTTCTACAAAGCCTAGATCATAACTTTAAATAGATTAATTGATATAATACAATAGACGGCCAATAAAAATTTCTTCCCCTTCCTCTCCCTTTAGCTAATGATGGAGTTTAAAAACTCATTTAAATGCCCACAAAAATATGTCACTAGGCTGACTTTAGGATAAAGGAACCAAGGAATAGCTGCTGAAAACCTTATTCAAGTTCACACACTGGGAAAGGACAGTCTCTGGCCAAGTGAAATCTATGCACTGTTTCTTGGTTTAAAAAAAAAACCGCCCTGCACTGAGCTAGATAAACAAAGAACTTACTACTTGTCCTGGTCAGTGTTTTGATTCACTTGATACAAGCTAGAGTCATTTAGGAAGGGGGGATTCTCAATTGAGAAAATGCCTCCATGAGACTGGCCTATAGGAAGGTCTATCAGGCATTTTCTTGATCAATGATTGATATGAAAGGGCCCAACTCACTGTGTACCACCCATGAGCTGGTTGGTAGTCCTGAGTTCTATAAGAAAGCAGACTAAGCAAGTCATAAGGAGCAAGCCAGTAAACAGCATCCGTCCATGGCTTCTGCTTTGGTTCCTCCTCCAAGTTCCTGCCTGGGGTGTGGTGATATTTTGTTGTACTCTAATAAAATTTGCCTGAAGATCAGATGACAGAACTAGCCACTAGATTAAACATAGAGGTCAGGAAGCGGTGACACACACCCTTATTCCTAGCACTCAGGAGGCAGAGATCTGACTGGATATCTATGAGTTCAAAGCCACCCTGGACTACACGAGATTAATCCAGTCTAGGAGAGAAACAGAGCCAGGCAGTGGTGGCACACACCTTTAACCCCAGTACTTGGGAGTCACACACCTTTAATCCCAGCACTTGAGATCTCATGCCTTTGCTATCAGTATTTGGAAAGCACATAGGCCATTAATCCCAGCACTAGGAAGGTTGAGATAGGAAGTGAAATGGCTGAGCAGAGAAAGGCATATAAGGTGTGAAGAGACAGGAACTAGAGAGCCTTTCGGCTGAGGACTCAAAGACATTCAGTCTAAGGATTCGTGGAGACAGGATTGGCTGAGAAGTTGGCAAGGTGAGAAGTGGCTATGGCTTGTTTCCACTGATCTTTCAGCATTTATCCCAATATCTGGCTCCAGGTTTTTATTATAATAACCATTTAGGATTCGTGCAACACTCTGGTACCTGCCCTGACTTCCCTCAGTGATGGAGGCATGACCTGAGAGTTCTAAGCTGAAATGAACCCTTTCCTCTCCAAGTTGCTTTTGGCTGTGGTGTTTACCACAGCAATAGAAACCCAAACTGAGACACTTATCTTAACTATCCAGACATGTGAAATCAGTGAGCCCTGACAGGATCCTGCTCAAGAACAGTATCTCTTTAGACTTGCCCTTAACCATGTGTAAGTAGAGAGGGCCGTTCCCAGCACAACAAAAGCATTAGTTTTATAGTTTCAACTTGATACAATGGGGAAAAAAGAGTTTACATTTTTCTGGCTAATGGGAAAATACAAATTTCTCACAAGAACAACTATTTTAGTACCCAGTATTTTAATGAACAAAGAAGGTATTTTTTCCTAAGTCTTCAACTCAAAATCAAAAATCTCTGTGTACCTGCATTTTTCTTACCTGTGGGAAACATTACAAATATGAATTAAAAATTTGAGAAAGCCTTGCTGAGTTCAATCACATCAGTGGGTTGGCATTTATCACCAACAAACTTTCGCATGAATGCACTGGTGAGGACAACCTGACCTACCTGGGACCCATGAAATAAGAAAGGACAGCCACAGACGGAGGCTTTGATCTAAGCCAACTCTAAGAGATGCAGGGGACTCGGCTGGCATGCCAGGTGTGCTGAAATCTCAAGGAGAGCCAAGACGCTAATAGCGCTCAGGATTGCTAGGCTAGACAGTAGACATCTGCAGAAGATTTCCTGCGTAGGCCACTATTCTTTGAATGCTGTGTGAGTCCATGGGCCTCAGCATCTCTTTAGACAACAGCTAACTTTCTAAGCTGCCAGCAGAAAACAATGGAAACAGCCTGGGCTGTTTCCATTTATGAAATGCAGATGCTCATCTAGAACTCAAAGCGACATATCTTCCACTGACCTCAAGGGCACAAAGTGTGAGGCAAGTGACACAGCGAAGTCCAGCCAAGGTCAACTCTTTAACTTACAAATAGATCATATGACCACCATCCCATGATGACCGTGAAAAGCCAGATCACATCTAATGCCAACAGAAGCATAAATATTCTGACAATTACTAAGACAAAAATCCTTGGATAGACATGAAGCACACACTTTTGCCTTTGGGGAGAAACACCATGCAAAGACTAAATGCTAATTAAGAAGCAGTTCTAGATTTCAAAGTCAGCTCCCTCCTACCCCCACCCCCTGCCTTTGGAAGGCACTGGGACTTGAGCCAAAGCAAGGGCAAGCAAAATTGACAGAAACTCTGTGAAGAGTCATAGAAAAATAATTGCCCTTATCTCACACAGCAAGAATCTCTGTGTGGATTTTTTTTTCCCTCTGCAAGCACAAAGGACGTGCTTTCTATTTCATATATGCTGTCCTTAACTTCCAGCAAACGCTTGAGTGAGCTTCATTAAAAAGTTCATCTGTGTCAATTCAAATACTAATCTTCCCAAAAAGACAAGTTCAAGTGTAAAGTTTTGTTTGGGGCACACACTTGGAGCGCAGAGGAAGCCAACAAACTCTTCCATGGTGATATGAGATTAGGCTCAACAGAAAATACTTGTGTGTACATGAACGTCACCCCAAAGGGGAATGAGGAGGGCTATCCACTTTTTTCTTCTCTTTACTGAGGTTTGTTACTAAAAGCATGGAGGCCTTTGTCCTGCTGTGTTGCTCTGTGCTTTGTTTGAAGGGAACAGTGTGCCGGTTTTTCCATAGGAATCTATGGGAGGAAAGGCATTTTTATATTATTCCATAATCTACCTGCTTATTCAATGGATAATTTTCTGCTCTTTCTTCTCTTTCTTCTCACAGGACTCTCCTCACCTCTGTCTCTCTCTCTCTGTTTCTCTCTGCCTCTGTCTCTCTCTGTCTTTCTCTGTCTCTGTCTCTGTCTCTGTCTCTGTCTCTGTCTCTGTCTCTCTCTCTCTCTCTCTCTCTCTCTCTCTCTCTCTTCCCCTCTTTCTCAACTCAGTTGCAATATGGCTGTTTTGACAAGTGATGATTTATGCAAGATTTATGGCTAATGATATATTTTCATCAGTTGTTTCTAACACTGTATTTTACACTGGGAAACAGCCACAGATAATGTGTGTGTGTGTGTGTGTGTGTGTGTGTGTGTGTGTGTGTGTGTGTGTATGTGTGTGTGTCAATGCCCAGGACCACACCCCATCTTCTTACCTAACAGAACTCTGGTTTTCTTCCACAGAGCACCATCACCCCTCCCACTGAACGAGATAAACTGTCAATCAGCCGCACTCCCCAGGCTTAGAAATGCAAGAGCACCTGAAGGCAGGTCAAGCAGGCTTCCCCCAGGAATCCAAAACTTGCCCCAGGAGTCCAGTGAGGAAAGGAAGAACAGTAGCCTGCTGGTTTCATCTCAGTGGCATGATTGATAGGAAAAAATAGCTGGTCCCTAAGTGAGACATTGCTAGATTTCAGCAAGTCTCTCTTCCGAGCTTGAGAGTCTAACTTCTATTTTGCTTAAATGAGCTACCATGTTATCTACTAGTAAATACATTTTAAGTTGGCCAAAGAAAAATTAATTTTTTTGCAATCAAAAATATCATCTGATAGAGATGCTGCAAGTAGAATTCATAAGTGAATAGTTTTCTCTTAAAACATAGTCTAGAGGCATTCATGGTGTGACACATGACTTAATTCCTAGCCCTTGGGAAGCTAAGGTGGGAGAATTATGGGGTCTAGGCCAACCTGGGCGACATAACAAGATCCTGTCTCAAAAATATAATTTATGATGCTAAATTGATGAGATAACATGATTTTTATTCTTTAAAAAAAAAACTTAAAAAGTAGAGAAGTATTTTGGCTGTTTTTCTAAAATATCTGAAAAAATTCAAATTTTCTTATGTCATTTATTGTTTTCCATTAAATGTATCACCCATTACTATTGTTTTATGTATAGGGATAATTAAATTTGAGGAACATTTCACTGTGGAACATGCTAGTAGTTCTTTTTAACCTCACTTATAATACAATATGTTATAATTTCATGGTCCATTATAAAGATGATGAAGACAACAATATGGCAAATATTTTCAATTCCCAAATATGTTAGACTACTCATAACACAAAAACGTCTGTGCTCATGAGCTAATGTGGGGGTCTCCATAAAGTTCTATCAAGTCTCCATGAGAAATCTTCCATTTAATATGCCTTGAAGGATTTGTTTTATTTTGAGATAGGGTCTTACATAGCACAAGACTGCAGGTCAAGATGATGAATTCTTGATCCTCCTGCCTCCACGTACCCTCCCATATCCCTTTTAATATCAACTGTATCAGTTCCCTGTTACTGCTGCAAACTGCATGAATGTACGGGCTGAAAATAACAAGGCGGGGATTACAAATGCCACCGTGTCCAGCCTTGCCTTGGAGCTTTAAGTGGCAGTTAGTTTACCTCCATGAGTCTTTCTTTTAACCATCCTAAGCAAATATTGCTAGAAAGCAGTGCATAATTACTGTGAAATTCTGACAAAGTGTGAATACCACCCTTCTATCATTACAAGGTAAGCAGACATCCTAATTCCCATTTGCATGTAACTCGTTCATGAGTTCTGGAAATCAGGAAGTGAACACATTTGTGGTACATTATTTTTGACCACAGTGACTATCTCTCCTATTTTGTTCCAAGCCAGTGTCACAATGTCTACATGGCTTTTCAGGGTCATATCAAAAAAAAAAAAAAATGACCAACTCATAGGCGCTCACTACAATATAGCTCATAAAAATATAAAATCAATACAGTAAAGCGATTTGTATGTTTTTTCCTTGCTCAAACTCAAGCATGTAACCGAGTGGAAATAATACAAGCTTTCTGGAAGTTCTCGTGTATTTTCAGACACCAGAGCCAGTGACATCTAACATTTTTCTAACTTGGACTGCTTAGCGTGGAGCCACAGTCTTCCATCCCTCACTTCCAGACACCTCAGGTCCCTGACTCTTCTTATAGTTTCCTTGATCTCCTCCTCCTCCTCTTCCTCTTCTTCTTTCTTCTACCTTGGACGCTTTCGATCAGCCATTTTTCTTCTACTGAACTCTTGTCTGAGAGTGTTCTGCAGGCCTCATGGCCATCCTTCCATGGAGCTAGCCCTCTCCAACAACACCTCTAGTGCCCCAAAGCTCTCTAGTCCTAATTGCAAAGTACAGTACAACTCAATACAAACTCTTCTGTCCTAATCTTTTCCCTATAAACTCCATCAGCTGCACACCTACCAAACCCACCTGCATGTCTCCCCAAACCCTAAAGTCCCACATATTTGTCTAAGACTGAACTCAGTATCTTCCACTTACCATTCCTCCTTCGTCTATTCTGGCCAACCAATGCCTTCTAAGACTGAAACCTTCTCTCGTAGCAGAGACACAGAGCACTGCTTTTAGTGAACTCTGGTGACCAAGCAGTTGGGGTGCAAACATATGGAAGTAATAACAACACAAGGGACAGAACCAAATGTCCCCTCCTCTCAAGTCTCAGTCTAGGAGCCTCAGAGTCACCTCTTACATTCCCTCTCTTCTGCCTGCCTGCACACCTAATCGGCAAACACGCTGCATCTCTTCTCCCTCTCATTCCTGCGTCCACACTTTTCTCCCCAGCCACATTGCCTCCTTCAGCCATCAATGCTCAGTCTATGAACCATTTGGTATTTTGGCAGCCTGACAGCCCTGCCTATGCCTGAAACATACTAGGCACGAGCACAGGTTGTGTCGTTCTCAATATTACCATCTCTGCAAAATAAAATTATCTGAAAATTAGCCACAGTTCAAAGGTCCATTTAGTCTCCAGCTTTTGCTTTTTGCCACAGCCCCATGGAATATGCACTGTGATTATCTGTTATACTTCTATCTACCTAGTGGCCAGTATACTTCTTGATGAGGAAAAAACAAAACAAAACAAAACAAAGCCTTACTCAGCTTCTCAGCTTAGTTCTTGAACCACAGACACACAAAATGTGCCCCTCAACTGTTCATTTGAGACAGAATCTGGCTGACAAGGTGAATCTGGTAGTGTGCCTTTGAAGATATTGCATAGAGATGTCTGCAACCAGTTATTCCAATCCACAAATGAAGGTTCTCAATTAATCCAGACTGAGGTGGCATGGCTGAACATTTTAATGTTCCTAGGGATCTGTGTCTTGTATCATGGAGTTTAGGGAGTAAGGTGCCTCTAAAAACATTCTTTCACCAATGAAAATAAGACGAGCAGACTCTGCCTCCTTAACTGCTCACTACGTGTTCAATGAAGTGGTTGAAAATATGGCCATCAGTCCCAGGTGCACAACTATTTCAACTTGCAAGAAGTCAAGTTCCATGCCTTTTTAAACAGGTGTGCCTTGCTTTGAAGAAGCAGGATGTGGTGGTTCATTCATTTGACTTTTGCAGTCCCCAGTTCCAGATATGAGACACTAACATTCCTAAAATCACCTCGTCACGTCTGTACTTTCTGCTCTAGTGATATTTCAACAGCAGCAGTCATATTTCTGTATTATCATGCATTTGTCTAGTTATAGTGGTGTGTGGACACACTGTGTGTGATATGCACTGACTACATGGATAGCACAATCCTATGTAGAAGGCCAGACAGTAGATATGTTTGGCTTTGAAGAGCCACAGACTCTGTCACGACTACTATCTTTTGCCACTGTAGCATAAAAGCAGCCACCCGCAATATGTAAACAAATCCATGTGTAATAAAAGTTTATCCAAACAGACAGTGGGCCAGATTAAGCCCATGGATGGTAGTTTGTCAACTACAGACTTATAAGAAAGGGGTTTAAGACAGTGCAGACCTTGCTAATGCAAAGAGGAGTTTCACAAACTCTTTTTTCCAGAGAACTGGAACCTCTACTAGACGCTTAACAATCTTAAACTGTGCTCAGTTTTAAGAAAAGGACTTAAAAAAAAGGAACCAAGTTTAAAGTGATATAAATAACTATAGGCCCCAGGTATGACAGCATACAACTTTAAGCCCAGCACTCAGAAGACAGAGGAAGGTGGGTCTACATAGAGAGTTCAAGGCCAGACAAGGATACACAGAGAGACTAGGTCTCCAAAAACTAAAATAAAATAAATGTATTATAGACTCTATGAGAAATAAGACAGGAATAAGATACACATGCATATATGCTGTTGCTATTTATTAACATATCTGATCTGGCAAAATGCAGACTTGGTTTTCACAGATTAAACTCTGATAGCTTTTCAGCACCCTCTTTAATCAACTCCTCCAAAATGACTATGCCCAGTCTCTGGTGACATAGTTACCCTGTAAGTGGTGTGTTCCATTGCTACAGTTGATAAAATAAATAAAAGCTAATGGATTTCCTGTCTGGAAACACAGTCGTACCAACCAAAGATTGTGAAAATGAAGACCCCAAAAGACTAGACTCCCAGGTTTTTCAATTACCTTGACCCCGGACGATGGTGCAGAAATAAGCAACCGCCAAAAAAGCCAGAATCAGCCTGTACCGCATCTTGTGCTGAAAAATCTTCATTTTTTTTTTTTTTGTATCTTTGACCTTTTACATGAGGTGCAACAGCTGCCTGGAAACAGAGAGAGGGTGGAAAATCAGTCTATGCTGTCATCCAGGAGAAGCACAAGGACCACTGTGGTGTAGCGCTGTCAGGAAGAATTAACTCCCTACAGCGTTGGGGACTTCCTTCTCCAACACGAACTGCAGAAGAAAGTTCTTTTCCTCTGGAAAAATCTGTATTGTAGACAATTGGGAGAGCTGGGTGTGGTGACATACACCTTTAATTCCAGGACTCAGGAGTCAAAGGCAGGTGCATCTCTACAGGTTCAAGGATAGCCTGGTCGACATAGTGAGTTCTGGACCAAACAGAGATACATAGTGAGACCCTGCCTTAAAAAAAAAAAAAAGAAAAAAGAAAAAAAAAAAGAGGAGGCATTAAGATTGTAAGAACCAGAGGTGATGAGTGATGGATGACTCCAAGCAAATAATGTCTTCAAGACACAACATACTAAAGCACATATGAACTCTCACAGAGAATATAGCAACATGTACAAGGCCTGCCCAGGTTCAAGCCAGATGGCGTCGCAGCTCTCAGAGGGGCTGGTGGACACAGAGTCCTTCCCATTACCAAGAAGCTATTTGTTATTGACACCTGCTGACTAAGGAAGATCAGTTTTCTCCAGTGGAGTTTCAGGGCAGGTCCCATGCCCAGAAGTAGTCGGCCAACACAAAAAGGACCTCAAACTGCTATTTTTGTAGACGTTTTGCTTCCTATTGCTTTGGGTACTTCTTGTCTTTTCAATCTTTTGCTTTTGTTTATTTTGATTTTTGTTTTTTGTGGAGCCGTGTGTGTGTGTGTGTGTGTGTGTGTGTGTGTGTGTGTGTGTGTGTGTGTCTGTGTGTGTCTATGTGTCTGTGTCTGTGTCTATGTGTCTATGAGTGTGTCTGTGTGTGTGTCTATGAGAGTGTGTCTGTGTGTGTTTGTGTCTATGTGTGTGTGTCTGTGTGTGTGTCTATGTGCATGTGTCTGTGTGTGTGTCTGTATGTGTGTCTGTGTGTGTGTCTGTGTCTGTGTGTGTCTGTGTGTGTGTGTGTGTGTGTGTGTGTGTGTGTGTGTGTGTGTGTGTGTTGGCTTTTGTTGTTGTTCTGTCTTTGTCTGTTTTTTGTAAAGAGAGAAAGAGGAAAAGAACATAAAGTTTGGTAGGGAGGGAGGTGGGGAAGGAGGTGGAGAGGGAGGTGGGGAGGACCTGGGATGAATTGGGAGAAGGTAAAACATGATTAAAATATATTTTATGAACAAGAAAAAAACTTTTTTCAATAAAATAAAGCTTAAAAAAAAAAGAAAGAGGATAGGGGGCATTAGAACAGGGCGAGATATTCAGGCTGGACTGTGAGTCTCTTCTGTAAGGACAAATATAAACTGAATAGTCTGCTTGAAACTGTCTTTTCCAGTTGTGCGTCTGTCCTCTACCTATCACACTAAGGTGAAACCTCGCCTGCCGCCTTACATTACTCACAGGCCACAAATGAGTACAGCCTTTATACTGGTGATCAAAGAGAGCTTGCTAGTGTGAAGTCATTGCTCCATTTTCTCCTCATAGGTTGAATAATCTCCAATCCTTTGATCTTTTCTCACAGCTCTTTTTGTTTCTGATATATATGAATCAGAAACTCTTCCAGATATATTTCTTTTAATGTTAGTGAAAGATGAGGAACAAGAACAGAGTGAGAAAGGAATGTAGAGACAGGAAGACGACAGGAAAAATAAAGGGCAGAAAAAAATAGAGAGAAGGGATGGGGGGAGGGGAGAAAGGAACTATGCTTGGTATTAATAGAAAAGGTCAGTCTGCTGACCACAATCCTATTTTAAATCATTACATTGGAGAAATTCTGAATTCTTAGAGATTAAGGCGACATTTCCATAGCCATTGGTAAGATGTCTATGCTCCTATAATAACCCCCCCTATGCTCCTGGAAGTAGCCATAATTAAACTCATTGTTTAAATATTCATAAGACAGGAATGTAGAAGGGGACTGATTGGGTAGAAGAAGGTGATCAGTTAGAGTGTTGAAGGGATAAGAGAGCATAATGGGGATATAAATGTGATGGAAATAGGTATAGTTATGAAAACATCCTAACAAAATCTTTTTATATGTAATTTAAATGTACTTTTAAAAACTATAAGAAGATGTCTCAAAAGCCTTCTCCTACTGGACATCTTCAATCATCTATCCACTCACTTATTCCCTCCTCCATTTATTATATAAAATTGTTCTTCATAAGAGCAAAGGCAACTTAACAATATCATAGAGTATCCGATGCATGAATATATAGCTGGGCGGTATTGGTGCACACCTTTAATCCCAGCACTTGGGAGGCAGAGGTAGGCAGATCTCTGTGAGTTCAAGGCCAGCCTGGTCTACAGAGCGAACTCCAGAACAGGCTCCAAAGCTACACAGAGAAACCCTTCATGTCAATGTGCTTATCTCTTAAAATATCCCTCCTTGCTGGTCCTGTTTTCTGGCTACATCTCTAATTTGGTGATAAAATATCCTGACCAAAATCAGGTTAGGAAGAAAGAGTTTATTTAGCTTACAGTTCTGGGTTACAGTTGAGCATTTGGAGGCAGGTCTAGGCAGGAACTCAGGCAGCTAATTCACATCATTTCCTCACCTAAGAGCAGAGAGAAAAGGATGCACTCTTGCTGCCTGCATGCTCTTGTCTACCTTTCTCCTGCCCTGTCTAGCTCAGGACCTCTGTCTGCCTAGAGAACATTGATGCCCACAAGAGCTAGGTCTTCCAACAACCATTAGCAGTCAAGACATTCCCCAAAAGATGGACCTGACCTAGGTAGTCCCTCAATTGAAGCTGTCTTCTTAAGTGGTTCTACGTTGTAGACACAGGCTTCCAGGCCTAACCAACTGATACCATTGGCAAAGGGAAATCAGTTTTCTCCAGTGGAGTCACACTGGGTATATTGATCACACTTTCAGAACAGGTCCCAAGTTCAAGAGTGGTTGAGCAACACAAAACAAACTCAATGGCATTTTTTGTGGACTTTTTGTCTCATTTTGCTTTGGACTTTTTTTTTTAATTTTATTGGTCTTCTGTTTGTATTTTTATTTTGTAGCAGGGAGTGTACATGTATTTCTTTTGTTTTTGTTGTTTGTTTGTTTTTAAAGACAGAAAAAAGAACATAAGCTTTGGTGGATAGGGAAATGGGGATGATCTGAGAGGAACTGGGGTAGGAGAAAAACATCAATGTTATATGAAAATATTTTTCAATAAAAATAAACAAATAAAAATCAGGATTTTAAGTACAAAAAAATAGCCATCACAGATCCTAAAAACAATGTTTTTACTATAAGAAAACCTAAGAATATAAACTATTTGTCAGTATTTGAAAATTTTAGGTTATTTCCAAAGTTCTTAATATAAACACTGCAATAGACATCCTTACTGATACTTACGGACTTTCACTAGATACAAGATATGGAACTGCTGGGTAAAACAAGATATACATTTTGTTTTGTCTTTTGAGACAGGGTCTCAATAGGTCATCCAGGCTGGCTTTGAACTAATAACCTTCCTGCTTTCAGGCCCCAGACAGTGGGATTGCAGGCATGTGCCACTTTGCCCCTCTAAGATAAGAGGTTTTTTTTTAACTAATTACACAAGGTAGTGTGGACAGTTACGCTGATTTTTGCTCCCACCAGCACCTAAGTACCACGCTGTATCACTCCTACCATCAGAGGGTTAATGCATAACCTGATTTGAGAAGTAAATGGGATTATGACTCTTGTTTTAATTTGATTTCCTCCATAGCCAGTGGATTAGTTATTTTGCACAGCTATAACTAAATCACCTGACAGAATAACTTAGAGAAAGGAATTGTTTCTTTCTACTAAGTTTCAGAGGTGTCAGTCAGCCATCACAGGGAGAGGCTGGCAAATCAGAGCAGCTTGATCATGGAAACAAAGACCTAGTTAAGGGGACTACTGGAAAGGCCAGGGAAAGATGCGGCACCTAAGCACACACCCCAGTGACCCACTTCCTCCTACCAAGCAGGAAGTCCCACCATCTCCCAGCAATCTATTTAAATTTTAAATGCTGGAATGTATTAAACCACTGATGGGATTATGTCTGAAAACACACTCAGACACACCCGAAGGTTGTTTTATGGTCTCCTGGGCATGTCTCAATACAGATTGACATCTAACAATTAAGATTGGCTATCTTAGGGGCTGGAGAGATGGCTCAGAGGTTAAGAGCATTGGCTGCTCTTCCAGAGGGCCTGAGTTCAATTCCCAGCACCCACATGGTGGCTCACAACCATCTGTAATGAGATCTTGTGCCCTCTTCTGGTGTGCAGGCATACATGCATACAGGCAAAATACTGTATATATAATAAGATAAATAAATCTTTAAAAAAAATTAAGATTGGCTATCTTAGGGGCAGGAGAGATGGCTCAGTGGTTTAGAGAACTTGTTGATCTTGTAGAAGACCTGGGTTCAATCCCAGAACCCACACAGTGGGTCACAAACATCTGTAAGTAACTCCAGTTCGAAGGCTTTGGATACTCTCTTCCAACCTCTTTGTGCGCATGGTGGCAAAACACCATTTTACACGCAGGCAAGAAGCACTCGTACCCATAAAACAAAATAATTAAATTCAAAAAATTTTTAAAGCTTGACTATCATTTTAATGCAGTCTTTGGTATTCTTTGGCTATTTAATTTTTTTAAACAAAATCTGTGTCATATCCATTTTTTCTGAATTGTGAGAATCTTTATATACTATCTATTTATTTTAACTGATATTATTTGCACCATTTTTCTAGTTTATTTTTTAACCTTTAAATTTTATTTACTAAGTTTAGGGTTTGTTTGTTTGTTCAATTAAATAACCTAACCAAATGTTTTTCATCCTGCTGTCTTATGGTACAGGGAAAATGACCTGTCTCAACCCAAATTTTATATCTAGTTATCTTAACTTTCTAATTCCAGGTAAGAATGGACTCTTTTCAGTGCTGTGATGTCTAATGGGCGATTTGCAACACAAAAATACAT